CGCAACTCCGGTTCAAGCTCCGTGCTAGAGCTTTTCTGGTTCAGAACCGGTTCTTCGGTTTAGCGCCGGCTCTTTTCACACCGCTCAGAGCCCGACTGGTGCTGCCGCTGCTGCGTCATGACGTCACAGTTTACGTCGCTGAGTTTCTCCCCAACGCCGGAGCTCACCTCACAACAACAACGGGCCGGGGACTGCGTTGCTTTTAATCATACGAAGCCAGATTAAATTAAATAACGACTTCTCCAACCTTATACTTTTCTCCAGAGTGCCGTGGTTCATTGTTTATTAATGTGTTTCAGCGGCATTTACCGACCGCTGCAGTGCTGGCTGCTCTTCAACGGGAGTGTATTCTCCCGTTAGCTCCGGGTTAGCTCACACGGCTCTAAAGTATTCACTGTCTGACTGTCACACAAGCAGCTGATACATATCCCCAGTTCCCCTTAAGTGAATGTGTGTCAGTCTGAATTGACGCTGTTTGGCATCACAACGCTGTTATGAAAGTTTCTCTGGTATAACATGGGTGATGTTAGCATAGCAACCGAAGCTAAACTGACTACTTGCTAAGCAGTTTTCTACAGGCACTTTTTTACCGACGTATTTTTCATTATGATTCTACTTGTGATAGTCGGACATGACAACCTGTGCAGCCCATGTATTGATTCCATCCGATAGCTGCTATAATAACAAACAAAACGTCTGCCTGCTCTCCACAATGATCAATAACAGCGAACGGATGGTCAAAGTAAACAGAATCACACGAAGCCTGGTTAGTGTTGCCTGACTTTATAAAGTGTGTTTTTTTTAACAAGTGTGTGGTTGCGTTCTAGTCACTTTGCTCAGCACTACTGCTTGTTACAACTTTTATTTGCCGTACTCGCCTTAAGTGTTAGCTCAGGTTAATCTCGCCCCCCTCCGACGTAAGCGTGACGTATGCGGTTCTTGCTTCTAGACGGACAACTTTTTGGTGCTCGAAACGAACCGGATTCCGGAGCTATGACGCTGCTCCGCTGCGGTGTGAACAGGAAAACCCGGTGCTTTTCAAGCACCAGCACCGAACCGGCCCTGAAACACCGTTGGTGTGAAAGGGGTACAAGAGTCACAAGGGTGTGTCACTTTGCTGAAGGATAGTTGACCAGCTCCAGGCCAGACTCTAAAGACTTTCCATGGTGTAAAATGCTGCTGCTGGAGTACTAGTGCTGATATCATGTCAACCATCCTCTTAAAATACTCTGTCCAACAATATCAGTCTCAGGAAGAAAGGTGTTTAAACGCTTATTCAAAATAGTAGAGAAACATGCATTCTTGTACTCAGGAGGGGACATTGACAGAGGATTACTGGAAAAGTACACAGGAAAAGTACTATTTGTGGGAGTAGTTTCGCTAGTAGCCTACTGAGTCCAACAGGATCAATCTCACGAAGAACTAATGGCAAAAAATTGCATTTTTCCCCTCATCAAACTTAGCAGAAGTGGCTTGATTTTGTTCTCAGGAGGGGACTTTGACAGAGGATTTCAACAACAACACTACTGAGTCCAGCAGTATCAATTAACTAATGGTACAATTGTCTTTTTATCATTCATCAAAGATAGCAAAAAAGCATGCAGTGTACTCAGAAGGGGACTTTGACAGAGGATTACTAAAAAAGTACACAGTAAAAGTACTTCAATGTATTGTTAGTAGCAGGCAAACTAGTACCAAGTCCAACAGTGTCAGTTTTATTAAGAACTTGCGGTAAAAAATATTTGTAAAAGAAAAATGAAGAGCAGCTGATTTGAAAAAACAAAGTGGAGAGACGGCTGAGTGACCGCAGTGCAGAACCGCTGCATAGTTTAAATCTCCTAACAATGTTGTCCATTTTAGACAAAGGCTTATTATATTTACAGCCCTTAATAACATTCATTTTCTGGGCTCAATGTGTGTCTTGGCCGTTTTCGTTGTGATCGCTAAATTCACCTTGTTTCCCCTTGTTTATAATATTATCAACGTTCCAAGCAAACGAGTGCTTTTGTTTTGAAATCACTTCCGCGAGTTTCACGCCCCTCGCTCCAACGACCACTAGACCATTTAGTAAGGTACAAAACTAAAAGCAAAAACGCCTCGCAGAAACTCTTCCGTTCACTTGTTTAATAAAGAAAAACAAATGGTCCGTAGATACACGGATTCATCTCCCTCCATCACGTTGATTTGAATCAGAAGTTCTGAACATGAGCCCGCCCCGCTCGACCTTCTGAGCCAATCACAGCGCGATAATGACCTGCCTTCCGTTTCAACCGTACTCCTTCCGTTTCCACTATACTTTCTCTCACACATACATGCATTCTTCTCTTGCATACATATATTGTCTTCAGACTGATTCTATAATTTAGGGTGCATTTCACATCAACAAAACAGTACAAAGAAAGTGTTCTTTCTCAATAGAACAATCAGTGGTTCAAGTTAGTATATTCCTCAGTGTAACATATCCACTAGTTGCAAAGCTTAAACATTTTTATTATTATTTTAATTTTAAGGGAAAGGATGTTTTCACTACTCAGTTTGTCAACTATGTTACGGACAAACTTGATGTCATTACAATCATTTGATTAAGTCCTGCACTTCAAGTAAAATCAAATTTGAAAGGCTCTTGAGTCTATTCTACCATATATCCAAAGATTTTTTAAAGTTTAAAAAATAATTGTATTAAAGTTTTGTTTTTTCATGTGATATGTTCAGCACTGTCATTAAGTTTAGGGATATTTTGTATTATAAAACTACCATACAGGTCATTTTGATAGTTTTAAGAGATGTCATGTAAAACTCCAACCTGTATAGATATACATTATACTATAAAGGATATCAGAAGCACTATTTTAGATATTTTAAATTTGAAAAAATGAGGTGCAACATAGTTGACAATGAAAGTCAAACATTTGACGCAAATAACATAGTTGACTGGACACATTATTAACCATCAGCACTATGTTCATTTCAAGGCAGAAGTGCAAAATTCCATTGATAATGATGTGTAATGACGTCTACATGTCATACAAATTGTCAACTAGGTTACCTGTCAACTAAGTTACTACAGTTATTACAGTACTGGGTAACTTAGTTGACAGGTAACTTAGTTGACAATTTCCCTATCTTGACCTATAATTTCAATGGTAGGCCTTGCCTGGATGACCACATGTCATTTTCTTGAACAGGTTAACATCACATTTGAACATATAATTGAATTAAAATCATTAAACAATTGTAAACCATAACAATGTACGTAACATTGTTGATGGTCAATTATTATACTCATTGACAATGTGCTATTATACATAAAATATTGTAAAAAATTAGAGGACAATCACCACAGTGTGTTCAAAATGTGTGCCAAAGAGGAACATGGCATCATGTGATGCTGGTGACATGGTATTGGGACAAACCATTTTTTAGTTAAAGGGGGGAGTTCTGTTAGTAACATAGTTGACAGAACTTTTGCGGACATTCATATATTAAGATATTTAAATTATTTAAAGGAGGAAATCAATTAAAAAGATGTTATTATTCTTTAGTATTTAGACTTTTGAAATAAATGAATACTTTTCTTTATTTACTTCAATGGTTTTTATTCATTATTTTGAAACCAAGACACCCTCAACTGAAAAACGGACATAGCAAAAACTGACAATTTAAGAACATCATGACACATTTCAAGCTAAATAAAGCATAGGATGCACATAATGTTTGTGTGATATTATATCATGCTTTCCAATAATAGGCAAAATATGATATTTTTGAAGAAAATAGTTAGAATAATTATAATTATCATCAATGGACATCAATGGACCTGGAATGTACCCTAAATTGTAGAATCACTATGCATATATTATTTATAATATTAAATGTAAACATTGAATGAATGTGCAAGAGAGCAAAATGTATAAATATGAGCATTAAAATATATGAATATGAGAACAAAATGTAAAAATGTGTGAGTGAAAAACGTATAAATGTGTGAGTGACAATGTATGAATGTGTGCATTGAAATATGATAATATGAGAGCAGAATGTATGAATGTGTGAGTGTAAATATATACTGTATGTGTGTGAGAGTGAAAATGTATGTATGTAAAAGGAGAATGTATGTGTGTGAGAGGACCAGTATGAATTACGGCCTGTACGGCCCCTCATACCAATCCGCGGAGCCGTTACGTTAAGCCCCCGCTGATTGGTCCAAATTGACCAATCCACGGACTTCCTCACACACAGGCAGCTCTGCTGATTTCTCCTCCCTGGCTGCAGGCTGATAACAGACAGTTGGGATCGTGGCGAAATTCTCTCTGCAGACCCATTCTCACAGCGTTTATCAACCTTTTTCTTACTCAATATCAAGCCACACTTATTGTTTTTACTTCGGATGTGACTTTGTGTGTGCTCAGGATGAGTTTGGCTGTGTTTCGCTATGTATCCTAAACAAGGAAACAACACCTCCACGGAGCTCAGCGCGATTCACAACGTCCCGACCAATCAGAGCACACTGTGCTCACAGGGAGGGTGGGGGCTGGAGCTATTGGAGCTACAACGAGCCGTTAAAAGCAGAGAGTGAAATTCAGTGAATACACGTAGTTTACAGAGATGCTGTTTGAGAAACCAATGTGAGTTTGGAAAAATGCACAATATAAATCTATTTTAGTAGACCTCAACAATGGAATTATGATCAGTGCAAATGGCCATGACATGTCTCCTTTAAAACTATCAACCACTAAGAAATCATTTCAGTTTGTTCTGTTTCCAACATGTTCCTGGATCTACATGATGTTCACACTGACTGAATACTTTAAACTGAAGTAGCAGCACGTTGTCTTTAATATTAATGAGAGCTCTTTTCCTCTCTCTATATCTCACAGTTTTTAACCTGTTTGGAGTTTCCACTTTCTGAACTTCTTCAGCTCTGAGCAGATTATTAAACCTGGAGTTATTTCAAACAGGAACATTGTTTTCTAAAGTTACATCATGTTTTCTTTATTCAGACTGGAGAGCTGCAGGTTGTCAGAGATCAGCTGTTCTGCTCTGATCTCAGCTCTGAAGTCCAACATCCATCTGAGAGATCTGGACCTGAGTGGCAACGATCTGAAGGATTCAGGAGTGAAGCTGCTGAGAGATCTTCTGGAGAGTCAAGACTGCAGACTGGAGACTCTCAGGTCAGTTCTCCATCTTTAACTTCTGTGCTGAGATGAATATGTGAGAGTTGTGTTGACTCTGAGCTGCAGACATCAGGCTGATATTACTCTGATCCTCACTGAGCATCTTAACCCTCTACAGTCTCAGCCCTTTGTTCATATTGTTGGTGTCCTGGTCTGCTTCAGTGAGAATGCTTGTAAAGCCTCAGCCCTGCACTGCACTCATGTTATACACATCTTTCTTTTTAAGACAAACTAAGCTGTCAGGATGTTTCTGCTGCAGGGATGTTACATTAATGTGTACATAATAACAACAACATGTGACCATGTACAAGCCTCAGAAAGACTAAACAACAACAAACTATAACAAGTGTAGTTCACTGTCTGTGGCAGAGCACTGATGATCTTTACATTAAAATAACAAGAAAAACCCTACACTGCATAATTCACTCTGAACCTTTAAAACACCTGAGATTCATTTTATATTCTCCATCCTGCTTTTAGAAAATAAATTATAAAGAAAATACATGAGTAGAATTGTTTTATATTTCTGTTAAAACTATCAACCACTAAGAAATCATTTCAGTTTGTTCTGTTTCCAACATGTTCCTGGATCTACATGATGTTTACACTGACTGAATAGTTTAAACTGAAGTAGCAGCACGTTGTCTTTAATATTAATGAGAGCTCTTTTCCTCTTTCTGTATCTCACAGTTTTTAACCTGTTTGGAGTTTCCACTTTCTAAACTTCTTCAGCTCTGAACAGATTATTAAACCTGGAGTTATTTCAAACAGGAACATTGTTTTCTAAAGTTACATCATGTTTTCTTTATTCAGTCTGAGGTACTGCAGTTTGTCAGAGATCAGCTGTTCTGCTCTGGCCTCAGCTCTGAAGTCCAACCCCTCCCACCTGAGAGATCTGGACCTGAGTCTCAACGATCTGCAGGATTCAGGAGTGGAGCTGCTGAGAGATCTTCTGGAGAGTCCAGACTGCAGACTGCAGACTCTCAGGTCAGTTCTCCATCTGTAACTTCTGTGCTGAGATGAATATGTGAGAGTTGTGTTGACTCTGAGCTGCAGACATCAGGCTGATATCACTCTGATCCTCACTGAGCATCTTAACCCTCTACAGTCTCAGCCCTTTGTTCATATTGTTGGTGTCCTGGTCTGCTTCAGTGAGAATGCTTGTAAAGCCTCAGCCCTGCACTGCACTCATGTTATTAACATCTTTCTTTTTAAGACAAACTAAGCTGTCAGGATGTTTCTGCTGCAGAGATGTTACATTAATGTGTCCATAATAACAACAACATGTGACCATGTAATAGCTTCAGAAAGACTAAACAACAACAAACTATATCAAGTGTAGTTCACTGTCTGTGGCAGAGCACTGATGATCTTTACATTAAAATAACAAGAAAAACCCTACACTGCATAATTCACTCTGAACCTTTAAAACACCTGAAATACATTTTATATTCTCCTTCCTGCTTTTATAATATAAATTATAAAGAGAATACATGAGTAGAATTGTTTTATATTCCTGTTAAAACTATCAACCACTAAGAAATCATTTCAGTTTGTTCTGTTTCCAACATGTTCCTGGATCTACATGATGTTTACACTGACTGAATACTTTAAACTGAAGTAGCAGCACGTTGTCTTTAATATTAATGAGAGCTCTTTTCCTCTCTCTGTATCTTACAGTTTTTAACCTGTTTAGAGTTTCCACTTTCTAAACTTCTTCAGCTCTGAACAAATTATTAAACCTGGAGTTATTTCAAACAGGAACATTGTTTTCTAAAGTTACATCATGTTTTCTTTATTCAGACTGAGGGACTGCAAGTTGTCAGAGATCAGCTGTTCTGCTCTGGCCTCAGCTCTGAAGTCCAACATCCATCTGAGAGATCTGGACCTGAGTGAGAACACTCTGCAGGATTCAGGAGTGAAGCTGCTGAGAGATCTTCTGGAGAGTCCAGACTGCAGACTGGAGACCCTCTGGTCAGTAAGGGGTCTCTGCTGGTTCAGCAGTATTGTATGAAACACAGGGAGGTGTTTCTCTCACTGGGGAATCCCAACAGATCAGTGATGTTACCCACTGACTGCAGGCTCTCTCATTCTTCCATCAACTATATATTGTAAGCTGAAAATGCAAAGCCACATTTAGTTAGTTAGCAACTTTCTAACAGACATATAGGATTTTACAGAAGAGTGGAAAAGGTTCTCTGTTTTGTTTCCTGTCATGTTTTTAGTTTCTAATGACTGGTTACTTCCTGTAATGCAGCTGAGAGCAGTGGCAGTCAGTCGTAGTGTTTGCAGAGAAGATATGATGGGATGTAAAGCATGAGATCAGGACTCTGAAGCTGACTCAAAGAACAAACACTTATTTTAAACTGGATCTAAAACTGTTGGATTGTGTTCATCCCTACAGGATCAGAAATGAGACGATCAGAGCCAAGATCCAGAAGACCTGTGAGTACTGAAACCATATCCTCCATTCATCAAGATATTGAACATTCAATCTGATCTTAAAAGGTCTTTATAGAACAACAACAACATATTTTAATTCCATTTTGTTACAGCTCTATCAAATCATTTTGGCTGCTAATGTTTCTCTTTGTTCAAGTTTAATTATTATTATTTTTCTGTGTCACCTCTTCTCTCCATCAGGTGACTCCGATGTGAAACAGGAAGTGAAGACAGACAGAAAGGTGAGAGAGGAGCAGTTGAACAGAGAGAAGTGTATTTATTTCACCACTGAATTAAAATATAATTGTTAGGGCTGTCAAGTTAAACAATAGAGCGCTCGTAATTGATCTAGAAACCTTAATGAGTCAAAAGAAAATCGGATGAACAAGTTCGTACATTTGTATTTACCGGAGAAATAGGAGATATTCCTGTCGACTATTGTCTGAGTTTATCTTTCAACTTAAAAACAATTCATAATGAAGGCTTTATAAAGACTGACATCATAAAGACATGTCGATGTATGTTATTGAGAAATTCAAGCCTACATAACCGCTGAGCGCTGTCAGGGATGAAGAGCAATTTGCACTGCAGCTGCTGAGCTGCTTACTAACTATGTGAGCAGGTACGAGAGAAGATATAAATCACTATCCCTTCATACAAGTCTGTTCTACTATACTAAAGATTAGTTTAATCACAGATCATCAATGTGATTAAAGCGATCACATGTTTTAATTGATTGAGACTGCTTGAAGGTCAGGATCCTCTCTATGGTGCACCTGTAGAAGGTGAGGATGCTGTCTATGGTGCACCTGTAGAAGGTCAGGATGCTCTCTATGGTGCACCTGTAGAAGGTCAGGATGCTCTCCATGGTGCACCTGTAGAAGGTCAGGATGCTCTCTATGGTGCACCTGTAGAAGGTCAGGATGCTCTCCATGGTGCACCTGTAGAAGGTCAGGATGCTCTCTATGGTGCACCTGTAGAAGGTCAGGATACTCTCTATGGTGCACCTGTAGAAGGTCAGGATGCTGTCTATGGTGCACCTGTAGAAGGTCAGGATGCTCTCTATGGTGCACCTTTAGAAGGTCAGGATACTCTCTATGGAGCACCTGTAGAAGGTCAGGATGCTCTCTATGGTGCACCTGTAGAAGGTCAGGATGCTCTCCATGGTGCACCTGTAGAAGGTCAGGATGCTCTCTATGGTGCACCTGTAGAAGGTCAGGATGCTCTCCATGGTGCACCTGTAGAAGGTCAGGATGCTCTCTATGGTGCACCTGTAGAAGGTCAGGATGCTCTCTATGGTGCACCTGTAGAAGGTCAGGATACTCTCTATGGGGCACCTGTAGAAGGTCAGGATCCTCTCTATGGTGCACCTGTAGAAGGTCAGGATGCTCTCTATGGTGCACCTGTAGAAGGTCAGGATGCTCTCTATGGTGCACCTGTAGAAGGTCAGGATACTCTCTATGGTGCACCTGTAGAAGGTCAGGATGCTGTCTATGGTGCACCTGTAGAAGGTCAGGATGCTCTCTATGGTGCACCTTTAGAAGGTCAGGATACTCTCTATGGAGCACCTGTAGAAGGTCAGGATGCTCTCTATGGTGCACCTGTAGAAGGTCAGGATGCTCTCCATGGTGCACCTGTAGAAGGTCAGGATGCTCTCTATGGTGCACCTGTAGAAGGTCAGGATGCTCTCCATGGTGCACCTGTAGAAGGTCAGGATGCTCTCTATGGTGCACCTGTAGAAGGTCAGGATACTCTCTATGGTGCACCTGTAGAAGGTCAGGATCCTCTCTATGGTGCACCTGTAGAAGGTCAGGATGCTCTCTATGGTGCACCTGTAGAAGGTCAGGATCCTCTCTATGGTGTACCTGTAGAAGGTCAGGATACTCTCTATGGTGCACCTGTAGAAGGTCAGGATGCTCTCTATGGTGCACCTGTACAAGGTCAGGATACTCTCTATGGTGCACCTGTAGAAGGACAGGATGCTCTCTATGGTGCACCTGTAGAAGGTCAGGATCCTCTCTATGGTGCACCTGTAGAAGGTCAGGATTCTCTCTATGGTGCACCTGTAGAGGGTCAGGATACTCTCTATGGTGCACCTGTAGAAGGTCAGGATCCTCTCTATGGTGTACCTGTAGAAGGTCAGGATGCTCTCTATGGTGCACCTGTAGAAGGTCAGGATGCTCTCTATGGTGCACCTGTAGAAGGTCAGGATCCTCTCTATGGTGCACCTGTAGAAGGTCAGGATGCTCTCTATGGTGTACCTGTAGAAGGTCAGGATCCTCTCTATGGTGCACCTGTAGAAGGTCAGGATGCTCTCTATGGTGCACCTGTAGAAGGTCAGGATCCTCTCTATGGTGCACCTGTAGAAGGTCAGGATCCTCTCTATGGTGCACCTGTAGAAGGTCAGGATCCTCTCTATGGTGCCCCTGTAGAAGTTGCAGAGTATCCTGGAGCCCATGTTGAACCTCAGTGATGAGTCCATGTCAGGTCCTCAGAGATGTGGACCCCAAGGAACCTGAAGCTGCTGACTCTCTCCACCGTAGTCCCATTGATGGCGATGGGGGCGTGTCCCTCTCCCTGCTGCTTCCTGTAATCCACAATCAGCTCCTTTGTTTTGCTGACGTTGAGATGGAGGTTGTTATCCTGGCACCAAGATGTCAGGTTTTCGACCTCCTCTCTGTACGCCGTCTCGTCGTCGTCTGTGATCTGGCCGATGACGGTCGTGTCATCAGCAAACTTCACGATGGTGTTGGAGCTGTGTGTGGCCACGCAGTCATGTGTGAACAGGGAGTAGAGGAGAGGGCTGAGCACGCAGCCTTGAGGGGCACCGGTGTTGAGGATCAGGGTGGAGGATGTGATGTTTCCCACCCGCACTGCCTGGGGTCTGCCCGTCAGGAAGTTCAGGATCCAGTCACAGAGGGCGCTGTTGAGCCCGAGGTCTCTGAGCTTGATGACCAGCTTGGAGGGCACAATGGTATTAAAAGCTGAACTGTAATCAATGAACAGCATTCTCACATATGTGTTCCTGTTCTTCGGGTCCAGGTGTGAGAGGGCAGTGTGGAGGGTGAGGGCTATGGCGTCGTCTGTGGACCTGTTTGTTCTGTAGGCAAACTGCAGGGGGTCCAGAGAGTCAGAATCAGAATCAGAATACCTTTATTAGTCCCACAGAGGGGTAATTTGCATCGTTACAGCAGGAAAGAGTCACAGACATCTTAATGTTACCTATGTTAAGAAAAAAGTACTAAGTTATGATGTAATAACGTGCTTTAACCAGTAGGTGTCCCTTTCTATCAGCTGTGCACCGTTATGGTGTAAATACAGCCTATCTACCAATTGGATCAAATATAAAAGTCAGCCGAATTAGTGTTGATACTGCAAGGAGACGTATTGTGTGAAAAGAAATGTAAGATGTTGTTTAATTGCTTATATATTTAAGATCCACGTCAAGTTTTCAGTTTAGGCTGCAGTTCCTGTTTGTCTAGAAGTCTTGTCATCAGGGCTCTATAAATAGAGTTAACTACGGCAGATATGTCATATTTAATGCAGCCGAAACGTGTATTACAATGCCGTTATGTGATGACTTTCAAAGAGAAAAGCAAGCACACTCGGAATAATGTATTATTTAATTTTTGTATACAGTCTATGGTTGCTACAGAGGATTGTGGGTAATGTAATGTCTTCGGCCATCCAAAACTCATAGAAAACGACTTGTTTCTCAGAATTGAAGGGGAAAACGTGACAAAAGCATTGAACACACACTAAAACCTATCAATGTCGTTTAATTAACAAGGATAATCTGGTGTTTTTGAGTTGATGAGTAGTGGAGATATCACTGTCAAATCAATCGACAGTAAGGGGAATACTTACTTCCGGGTGTACAATTCTCCGTTATCCAATGGGAATGGACGCTCACATTGCCTTTAACAGCCTCCGACACAAACGAATGCCGTGCTTCCCTAAGCGTCAAATACCGCCTACGATGGGAATACATTGCAATCAGTTGAAAGCTCTTTGCGTCCGTTTATGAAGCTGAAGGAGCCTCGGCGCGTCACAACTGGACGCCACGGGACCCTGACCAAGCGTCGCTCCTGGACGCTTGGGGAGTGAGAGTGTGTTGAGTTGAGAAACACTGTGCAATGGTTGCAACAGAATCAATGAAGTAGTGGTTTAAAACTTCAGCTACGTCAGCTGGATTGTTTATAAGCTTTCCATTGTCTTTAAGTTCAAGCTGTTTTCTTTCCCTATATTTATTTCCAGTGAATAGTTATGACTGTTTCCAGATCATTTTTTAATTACCCCCTGCCTTGTCCATTATAATCTAGAAGAAGTCTGCCTTAGCCTTCCGTAACTTCTTAATGACTTTGTTCCTCAGCATAGCAAAGTGATGCCTGTCATGGCTTGATTTAGTTTTGATGGATTTGTTTTAGGACTAGATCACGTTCATTCATTAGTTTTAAAATATCCTAATTTATCCAAGGGACAGTGTTTTTTTTTTTTTTTTTTGCTTGAATTTGCAATTGAAATCTCTGATAGTGCTCTCTAATGTTTTTGAGAACATTTGACTGTCTTCTTCGTGGTCTATTCCCAGCAAAAGATCATCCCATTTAATATGTTGAACAGCATTTATAAAGGTCTCATATTTGTTTTTGGGAATACCATAAGAATCATTTTTCCTGAATGAAGGGCTACATCGCCTCTTTGTTAGGTTCCTGGCGACTAAAATCATATTGTGGTCAGAGAGACCAGTTAACATTAAAATATTTAAAAATTCTCTCTGGTTTGTTACAAAAAATGAGATCAATTTGTATCCTGGTGATTCTTGTAGGTCCATTGATCAGTTGCACAAGGTCAAAGTTATCGGTTATCTGTTTAAGAGTCTTCTAGCAGATTTATCCTCCCAGTTGATGTTGAAATCGGCCATTATAATAACTTCTTTGTTAAAATTACATTCTCTTAATAATTTCCTAAAATTCTCATAAAAAAGATTGTTTGAAGAAAGAGGCCGATAAATAGCTATTAAAATAAATGACATTTGTGGTGACAAAGTTATATTGACACCAACACATTCTAATTCATTGCAATTACAATGAATTTCATTGCAATGGATGCTATCCCGATTGGCTGGTACTACTGTGCTGTGATTGGCTGGTAATACTGTGCTGTGATTGGCTGGTACTACTTAGTGATAAGAGTTTACAGGTATTTTCTTAATGTAATTGGTGTCTTATTATTTGGTATCAGGCACACAAGCTGGGAGCCAGAGGAGAACATCCTGGACCCCAGACTGCTGGCAAGCGTTCCACAAGAGGTGTGTGTGTGTGTGTGTGTGTGTGTGTGTGTGTGTGTGTGTGTGTGTGTGTGGTGTGTGTGTGTGTGTGTGGTGTGTGTGTGTGTGTGTGTGTGTGTGTGTGGTGTGTGTGTGTGTGTGTGTGTGTGTGTGTGTGTGTGTGGTTGTGTGTGTGTGTGTGTGTGTGTGTGTGTGTGTGTGATCCAGACTCATTTGCATTTTTCAAATTGGTCGGAATATGTTCTAGAATTGTGGTTTGGTTTCATGAAGCTAGAACTTAACTTGATTTATATTAAAATAACTAACTTTGTTTGTTCCAGCCTCCTGAATCCTTCTCACCTGAACACACAACTGAGTCTTCATACAGGTAATCCCATAACATGACCAAACATTATTTAAACACATTACAAATATATATAAATGTTTTTGTGTTTGATTTCATGTCTTTCACCTTGAGGTATTGCATCTCTTTCCAACAGACATAAATCAAATAATGCCTCTGTGTGTAGGAAGGATTGTTTTCTTGTACCAGTCTAGATCCTTGCTGGACTAGACATTTTGTTAATTTAATGAAAAGTTGTGTACACACACATCCTGATGCATGTGGACACATCTTCAGTGATGTTCCTGTAATCATCAGGGGCCTCATTTATAAAGGGATATACGCTAAAAAAATGGCGTACGCCAGTTTCTACGCAATGTTTGCGATTTATGAAATACTAACTTGACGGGAAAATGTGCGGTCCTCCACGCAAACTCTAACCCATGCGTACGCACTAAGCACACAAACGGGAGAGACGAGAAACTGTGACACCGTTGGCAGAAGGAAGAATGGAGAAATATGTGGAAATAATACCATCAATAAAATGTTACCTCTCATTTATCAAATATGAAGAATTCATTTTCACACATTGATTAAAGCCAATCTTAAAATGATTAAACAAACGCCTGTTTGAGACTCCTCAGTGCACACAAAAACATAACTTGGAGAAATAAATAAATACGGAAATGTTATTGATCACCCCTCGATTATGTTCTCTTGGTATGAAATGTTTTCTCATAAATGATGCGGTAAGCAGGAGGACAGAATTACTTTAAACTGACGCCGTTTTGCTTTTCTATAGGTTGTAGATACGAGCATGGTTTTATATACTATCACGTTTAATCATGTTTTATGCCGTTTGCCAAGACTTGATAAGTCGCTCGTAAAACACAGGAGGTATGGAAACTAGGAACACCATATGTGGTAAATTGTACAGCTAATATAACACAACACATTAGTTGTATTTCCTTTAACTGGTGGATTATGGATATATAGTTGCTGATCGACAGCTGGAACACAAACCACCAAATACAACAAAATAATTCAGATCCAGTCGTCATGACTACACTACGGAGGGATTCCCCAATCATTTCTTACAGTTTCTCATCAAGGGGGGGGTCTCCTGTCCCCGTACAAACACACTGCCTGAGGAAGGTTATGTGTATTTTCTTTGTCATTAACTTTTTTCGGACCACTTATTTATTTATTTTGGTGACGATCCGACCTCCATGCTGCTACTCTGGCTCAAACTGCATCCACCAAACAATATGATTTATCTCGACCTCCCCAAAATAACCAAAATCTGACACGGTGTGAGATGTCTTTTTTAGCTGTTCTGTCCTCATTTCCTGCGATCTTCTTCATGCAGTCAGTCAGAATTAATATGAATACGGGGCATTTCTTTGACTATTTATAGGCAAATATGGGCGTTACGTGAAGCCCGCAAAAGCTGCGCCGCATTTCGAGTTGATTTATAAAGGGAAACCGGCGTAGGATGTGCCGTACGCAAGTCCTGTGCCGGTACGCAGTCTTTTATGAATCGGAAAGTGTCGGTGCCTATTTATTTGCTTTGTCCTACGTAAGCAACCTTCCCACGCCAATCCTACGCAAGGCTTTATAAATGAGGCCCCTGGTGTTTCAGATCTTTCAACAAACCCTCCTCCAGGTCAGATCCAGCTGGATGAACACCTGTCAGTCAGAACACAGGCCAGTGAAGGCTTGTTGTAGTAACTTGTCCCCCGTGTGTCTACAGGTTCAGGTGTCCTGGTTCAGGTGAGTTCCAGTGTGCTTCGACTGGCCTGGTGTTCGTCATGGCTCAGAAGGCGGAGCTTCTGTACAGGACGGTCCCTTGGGGGGAGAGCCTCCTCCAATCAGCTGGCAAGCAGGCAGCAGGGCCGCTGTTCGATGTGAAGAGTTCTGTTGAAGCTGCCGTCGTCCAGCTCCACCTGCCACACAGCGAGACAGAGGATGGTAAAGACATCTAGTGTTAACAAATACACACTTATATAATGAGTAGCACCTTATACTATCCACTAGCGTTCAAAGGTTATGAAGCAGCTTTATTAAACTAGTTGAACAAAGATAAGATCATTCAAACACCAAATCTGTTCTTTACATTCAAAATAGTTGTGTCCCCAAAAAAAGAAGAATGAAATTATAAAACATCCATTTAGTCGATGTGTTGCATGACATTATTGATCATTATTGAAGCAGACGATGCAATGCAGCTCTAAATACTGAGTTGGATTGTCTTTGGGCCCTCTGCAGTCTCCTCACTGTAATATTAAAGAGATGTAAACTGTGATTGGTCAGTCCACAGCATGCTCAGCTGCTAACAGTGCTAACTCAACGCTAACTCTCTGTTACTGTTGTGATGCTAAGCTAGCAGTTTGATTAATTCTTACTTAGTTATCCATCTGTTGCTCTTTCTGCTCTTTACATTGTCAGTCTGGCTGAACCATGAACAAAACAAAACAACAGACAACAACATTTATAAGTTAGACTTTCTACGCCCTGAAAGCTTTAGAAAACTCTTCACACATCTAGAGAGTCACTCAGACATGAGAGCGGACTCAGTCAAGCTGTTCTGGCTGCAGATTACTAACATCTCAGCAGTCTTGAAGATTAGAGAATAATGAATAAAGTGTATGCATAACAGTAAATGCTCACATCCAGAAAGATCACAGGGGGCAGATCAATAATGAAACATTAGAATAAAAGGTGGAGGATATAAACTGGAGCATCCTAGTGAGGCTCCAAAGTGAATGACATTAGATGAACATTAGCTCTGAACTAAAGTGGTGAGACATTGAATATGATGAAGCTGTTTCAGCAGCAAAGCAACAGATGACCAGCTCTTTGCTCCACAGCGCTGCTCCTGGACGGCCTGTTGTCTGTCGTCCACATCACTGATGAAGGCCTGAGCATCTTGGAGCCGCTGGAGGTCACACGCACTCACGTGGTGGTGAAGGTGCCTCACCTCTCTAAATTTGGCCTTACCATCGATCGATTGAAAAGGCTTTTAAAGAAGCGGATAAAGGGTCAAATTCTGGTGTTCCTACGACCCCCGGTCAGAGAGGAGCAAATACTGGATGTACATCTGCTGCAGAAAAACGTCCTTGTGGAGAAGGTAATGTGCTCACCATCAGACTAAACTCTGGTTTTTAACCACAGCCGTTTCTTCTCAAACCTTCTCGTGCTGGGAGAAGAGTAAGATCTATCTGAACTGTAAATCTTCAGACCGCTCTTTGTGGTTTTGTATGATTCTCTCTCAGCATGTCTTTCTGTCTGCGGAAACTGATGGCATGAATAGTAAACACATCACACAGAACTGAAAGACCTGCTGAGATGAATCACTGCCACGTGATCTCATCCCTACCAGCCATACTTTACAGCTTGGGCAGCAGCCTGTTGTGTTGTATACAAAGCAGATGGTTTGTGTTTTGGTTAACGTTGGAATAGCTTCTTCAATACGATGTACGTTGTGACACGATACTCAGAGACACTCTGTCCTGTTACAGGACAGAGTGTCTCTGAGTATAACAAAAAAGATCATGGTTTGGATTAATGGGACATTGTGAATACAAATAACTCAGCTTTTGGTTTCACTCAGGACACGAGCTCCGCCCCCCGGTGTCCTGTGTTTAATCCGCCCCCCCCCTGCACTCCCTGAGCTGACTTTCTAGCTATTTTAGAAACGCCCGTCCTCATAGCCTCTAGTACAATTACAACAAAGTTAGCTGACATCCTGGTGTGTCTCAAACAGACACTGAAGTGAGCCCTGTGCCAAAGGAATAGCTTCTTCAGTAGCTTATATCCAAGAATTAAAAGAATCTATTTTGAATATTCCTTTAGAAAGGCAATATATCCTTATAATTATGTTGTGATTGATTGTGTATCTCATCACTTTGTGGAGCAGGTCTGTCAACGTTTGTTGTTGTTTGATGTGATCTTTAAATAAAGTTGCCTTGACTATCTGAGCATAACTAAAGTTACTCTGTTACTGAAGGTTGCTGATCAACACAGACGTGCTGAGAACATCACAAACTCCTCCAACTGTAAGCTGGACATTCATCACAGTTACAGTGTGCACTGTGAACCTGAACCTGTCTTCATTCAGCCTGAGGTGAGTCACTGATGCTCCTCTAAAGAAACACAATGATCATTAACACACATTTATCTGCATGTGGATCCACAATCAGGAAAGAAACAGATAAACATTTAACTTCTGCTTCTGGTTTTCAGAGTGAAACATTTGAATCATGTTTTGGACCAAACTACCATCCGACATTTCAAGTTTTCGTGACGACGAGCACAGAGACAGTGGTTTTGAAGGTCAAGGACCAAGGTGGAAACGTAGTCTGGTTTTGTCGCGTGTTACTGAAAGGTAAAGACTCCATCTGATGTCATGTTATATATTATAAATGTAATCTTTTTGTGAACGAATATCCCCCCCTGGAAATGTCGAGTTACTTTAATTTTGAAGAGATCTGTTTAATGTGATTGTTGGATATTCCACAAAAGTATTCTCCCTGTTTATCTACCAGGTCCAAGTCAGGAAATCTCCCAGATAAATGTCCCAGCAGAGAGCAGAGTCCCAGCAGAGAGCAGAGTCCCAGCAGAGAGCAGAGTCCCAGCAGAGAGCAGAGTCCCAGCAGAGAGCAGAGTCCCAGCAGAGAGCAGAGTCCCAGCAGAGAGCAGAGTCCCAGCAGAGAGCAGAGTCCCAGCAGAGAGCAGAGTCCCAGCAGACCAGTGGCGGCTCTTTCGGACACAGTTCATTCAAAGAGTGACTCTACCTGTGCTGGACGACCTTCTGGATAAACTCTTTGAGTCTGAAGTGATCAATGATTCTGAAATGGAGATAGCCAGAACCAAACCCCGAAAGGACAGAGCACGAGAGGTGGTGGACGTGGTGCGAAGAAAAGGAGCTGACGCCAGCAGGGTTCTGATCAATGCTCTCCGTGAGCTGGACCCGCATCTTTACGATGTGCTCAAGGAAAAAAACCTTGTGGAGTGTGTGTGAAAGCCCCTGCTAGTTTTGTATTACCTGTAACTAGAGATGGGTGTCAGGTACTAAATTGTTACCGTACCTGATTGGTCAGGTGATGTGGTGGTCTGACCGCCGTCAGCCAGCAGACCCTAAAGCCACCTTTTCTTTAATTTATTTTATACAGAAACATATATGAACATCATATATTTTGAATGCAAACCAATTGACATCAGGGGGAGACATATGTTATAAAAACAAATTATATTATTATTAATTCTCTGTTCATTTTTTTTTATATCACACTACCAGAGCCCATACTGTGTACCTGTTTACTTCCTGTCTGTCTTCTTCTGCTGTTCCCTTTAGTGTTTACTTCCTGTCTGTCTTCTTCTGCTGTTCCCTTTAGTGTTTACTTCCTGTCTGTCTTCTTCTGCTGTTCCCTTTAGTGTTTACTTCCTGTCTGTCTTCTTCTGCTGTTTCCTTTAGTGTTTACTTCCTGTCTCTCTTCTTCTGTTGTTCCCTTTAGTGTTTACTTCCTGTCGGTCTGTTTAATTACTTTTTGCGCTTACTGAGATAAAGAGGATGATTTAAATGCAGAAATCCTAAATTTGATATGTGATTCAACTTGTAACACTGTTCAAACTGCCTCTGTGAATAAATGCATTAGTATTAAAAACATGAATTAAAAACAAAGTAAGCTTCTTCAAAAGATTTACACACACACACACACACACACACACACACACACACACACACACACACACACACACACACACACACACACACACCACACACACACACACACACACACACACACACACACACACACACACACACACACACACACACACACACACACACACACACTCTTTCTCTTAAACATATTTTTAGAAGTTTGTTTTCCCTGGGTTTATTTATTTGTAGATTTACATATTTAATAATTTACTTTTTTTAAATAATTAATTAAAGTTGACTTTCCCCCTTGTTTAAATGTGTAGATTTTGTATAATTGAAAACATACTTTAAGCTCCATTTCTTGATTGTAAAATACCTTATAGAGAGTCTGGAGACGGCTGACTTTATTCTCAGTCATCCTTTGACATTTTATTTCAGAATTTATTTGGAATTGTATTGAAAAAACGTGTTTTAACTAAAAGATTTAAAGCTTTAAAAAAATATTTAATAAAGTTTGTCGCACTTTGAAAAAACTCAGAATACCTCCTTTGATTTGAAAATAATATTTCCTCACATTTAAGACAAGTATTTTTTAATTATTAGATATTAGCAGCTTCATTTGATTGAATAAAAGATCCTCACCGCTGATTGGCTTTAAGAGACCAGCCTCACGCAGATGTTTCCCTCGAGTTTAACATTAAACCGTCCGGGCGAATGAAGCGTCTATCCACATCTTTCTCTTTGACTTTAATCACGTAAACGCGCCTCGCAAATAGTGTGCTTTGCGTCCGGTGTGAACGCAGCATTACAAACAAAAACCTGGAAAGAGAGACAGAGGTTGGATCATATTTTACTTCATATTGAGAAACATATCACAGTTTTGCACAAATAAAAAAGATTGAATGTTTTGGAAACATTGAAAATATATTTTTATTTTCTAGTGTTCATGTTTTCAGGCCAAAACCTAAATAAATTAAACTTTCAACTGCTAGAACTACATTTCCCAGAAAGCACCATGTCCTATAAAGAGAAGACGACCCCCCGGTGAAGAAGAGAATACATCCACATTAAATAAAAATGGTAAATAAACCTTTTTATTACTATTTTGAGGAGATTCTCTTGTGAAACCCTTGAAGTGCTGACACTGATTAAAGGGTTTTTATATTGGAGATATTTAAAATGACGTCTCTAAGGCACAGGATGAGAAAGATGCATCTTTACTAGAAAGTGTGTGTACCCTGAACGCACCGCGTAGTGCATTTCGAGGCCGGAATCCACATTTTAGCATCAGGATTTTCAACAGGAACTTTATTTATTAATATTAAATATGACAAGAAAAAAGCATTTGTCATCAGCTGTACAAATACCATTTAATTTAAAGAACCAGTGTGCTCAGGAAGAAGCATAAAAAAAAACAAGCACAGATCACAGAAAGCAAGCCCGTGAAGTGGAGGTGTAACGACACGTTCATTACTAATTCACTGGTTTTTGGTTCAGATGCTTTGGTCACTTTTGCAGCTGTACTTCCCCTCTGTTGGTCCGTACCCAAAGGAAATGAAAACATAGTAAATGTTCCTTTAAATGAGAATTAGAAATTAGTTAGAAAGATGCTGTATAAATAAACTTGCCTTGCCTAGAGCGGATCGGAAAAATAGTGTAATAATAATAACAATAACAATAATGTTTAAATCACATAAAACATTTGAGGGACTTTCTCTTATTCTAACTATATTTGGGATTGATGATATTGTAAAAGAAAAGTAAATACAAATCTCACTTTTATCAAAACTTTTAGAAAAATGTGTAAAAACACCAACATTTTCTTTAGTAAATGTATATTTGTAAAAGAGACATTTTTCTTATTAAAGTATATGTTAGGATGGCGTGGAAGGGTAGGACCCAAATGCAGACTATCAAAAAGGTAACAGGTCTCGTAACAAAAAGCGAGCTTTATTTTAAAAGCTGATCAAAACAAGGCATGAAACAAATGGGTTGTACAAAAAACTGACCGTGACCCACATGGAGGGAGACAGGAGAGACAACCGTGACTGACATGGAGGAAGACAGGAAAAACCAACAATGAACCGACAGGGGAACACAGGAAGAGACAAGACTAAATACAGGGAGGGGTAATCACAAGACAAGCCACAGCTGGGGTAAGAGAGGCAGAAACACAAGGGCAACAGGTGAACACAATCAGACAATCAGACACACCAGGGGAACTAATGACAGGAAGGCAAACACAGGAAGAAGGAACAGAGAAGACACAAGGAGGAAAACATTTCAAAACAAAAGGTGGAAAATGAAAACATAAATACAAAACCGTAACAGAACCCCCCCCTCAAGGGACGGATTCCAGACGTCCCAAGAAAACCCCCAAAAGTCCAAAAAATTCCAGCAGGGTGGGTGGAGGGGGTCTGGAGGACGGGTTTGGGCTGACAGCCCAGGGGCACAGCGGAGGACCCGGAAGGGGTCTGGGGCGGACGGCCCGGGGGCAAGGCAGAGATCAAGGAGGGGGTCTCGGGCGGACGGCCCGGGGGCAAGGCAGAGTTCAAAAAAGGGCGAAGACCACAGCGGGCGAACTCAGGGGGCCGGGCATGAGAGCAAAGGCAGCGGCTGAAAGCGTCAGGAGGCCGGGCTCGAGGGCGAAGGCCACAGCGGGCGAACTCAGGGGGCCGGGCATGAGAGCAAAGGCAGCGGCTGAAAGCGTCAGGAGGCCGAGCTCGAGGGCGAAGGCCCCGGCACTCAGGGGGCCGGGCTCGAGGGCGAACAAGAAGGCGTCGACGGGACAGCTCCGGAGGCCGGGCAGGAAGGTGCTGACGGGACAACTCCGGAGGACGGGCAGGAAGGCGCTGACGGGACAGCTCCGGAGGCCGGGCAGGACCCGTTGTCGGCCAGACAGGAACCGGAGCCGACGGAACAGGCGTAGACGGGATCCTGGACATGACATGGACTGGTGTCAATGGGACCCCGGATGGAGCAAGGGCTGGTGTCGACTGGACCTCCAACGGAACAGGACACAGAGTTGGCAGGACCCCCGGTGGAACAGGTGTCGGCGGGACCTCCAACAGGACAGGACACAGAGTTGGCAGGACCCCCGGCGGGACAGGTGTCGGCGGGACCCCCAACAGAACAGAACATGGAGCTGGCAGGACCCCCGGCGGGACAGGTGTCGGCGGGACCCCCAACAGGACAGGACATGGTGTAGGCAGGAAATCTGGTGGAGCAGGTGTCGGCGGGACCCCCAACAGGACAGGATCTGGTGTTGGCAGGAAACCTGGTGGAGCAGTAGTCGGCGGGACCCCCAACGGGACAGGACATGGGGTTGGCAGGACCCACAGCTGAACCCCCAACGGCACATGACACAGGGTTGGCAAGACCCCCGGCAGAAGAGTAGTCGGCGGGACCCTCAATGGGACAGGACATGGAGTTGGCAAGACTCCCGGCAGGAGAGTAGTCGGTGGGACCTCCAACAGCACAGGACATAGGGTTGGCAGGACCCCCGGCAGAAGAGTAGTCGGCGGGACCCCCAACGGGACAGGACATAGGATTGGCAAGACCCCCGGCAGAAGAGTAGTCGGCGGGACCTCCAACGGCACAGGACATAGGGTTGGCAGGACCCCCGGCAGAAGAGTAGTCGGCGGGACCCCCAACGGCACAGGACATAGGGTTGGCAGGACCCCCGGCAGAAGAGTAGTCGGCGGGACCCCCAACGGGACAGGACATAGGATTGGCAAGACCCCCGGCAGAAGAGTAGTCGGCGGGACCCCCCAATGGGCCAGGACATGGAGTTGGCAAGACTCCCGGCAGGAGAGTAGTCGGTGGGACCTCCAACAGCACAGGACATAGGGTTGGCAGGACCCCTGGCAGAAGAGTAGTCGGCGGGACCCCCAACGGGACAGGACATAGGATTGGCAAGACCCCCGGCAGAAGAGTAGTCGGCGGGACCCCCAATGGGACAGGACATGGAGTTGGCAAGACCCCCGGCAGGAGAGTAGTCGGCGGGACCTCCAACAGCACAGGACAAAGGGTTGGCAGGACCCCCGGCAGAAGAGTAGTCGGCGGGACCTCCAACATCACAGGACATGGGGTAGGCGTCGGCCATAGAGCCAACAGGACACGGGGTGCTGGAGTCGGCCGGACCACCGACAGAACACGAGGGGCTGGAGTGGGCCGAACCACCGACAGGACACGAGGTGCTGGAGTCGGCCGGACCACCGACAGGACACGAGGTGCTGGAGTCGGCCGGACCACCGACAGGACACGAGGTGCTGGAGTCCGCCGGACCACCGACAGGACACGAGGTGCTGGAGTCGGCCGGACCACCGACAGGACACGAGGTGCTGGAGTCGGCCGGACCACCGACAGGAGACGGGGTGCTGGAGTCGGCCGGACCACCGACAGGACACGAGGTGCTGGAGTCGGCCGGACCACCGACAGGACACGAGGTGCTGGAGTCGGCCGGACCACCGACAGGACACGGGGGGCTGGCGTCGGCCGGGGAGCCAGTACTGGAGCCGAAACTGAAGTCGGGACCATGGCTGCTGGGACCGGAACAGGGGCCGGAACCATGGCTGCTGGGGCCGGAACCATGGCCGCTGGGGCCAGAACTGGGGCCGGAACCATGGCTGTATGGGCCGGTTCTGGAGCCGGAACCATGGCTGTGTGGGCCGGTACTAGAGCAGGCACCATGGCTGCTGGGCACGGAACCGGAACACGGAACCATGGCTGTGTGGGATGGTACTGGAGCACGGTACCATGACTGTGTGGACCGGCACTGGAACATGACTGTAAGGTCCGGTTCTGGAGCAGTGACTATGGCTGCTGGGCACGGAACAGAAGCCTGGACCCTGGCTGTGTGAGCCAGGTAATGGAGCACGGAAGCATGGCTGTGTGGGCCGGTACTGGTGCACGGATCCATGGCTGTGTGGGCCGGTACTGGACCACGAGCCGGCCTCCCGACCTTGCGTTTCTCCGAGGCCCCCTGGAGGCTCCGTGGACCTCCAAACGCC